GGGTGAAGAAAGAGGGAGGGGGGAGAGAGAGAGGAGAGAGAGGAGGGAGAGGGGGAAGAGAGGGGGGTAACGAGATCGGGAAAAGCGCGCGCACGCCGGCACGCGACCAGGCAGATAAAGCGGCCAGCTGCGCCACGCGCCGTTCAGTTCGCCGTCAGACTTGACACAGACACACACACACCGACAGACACACACACGGCCCGGCCGGCCAAAGATTTACCTGAGTTGTTGCGAGGAGGACCAGAGGGATATAAGAAGAAGAGGTAGAGAGTAGAGCAGAGGTGTGTGTGTGCGCGTGCGTTATCATCACATTATATTATAGAGCCTACCTGGCTCTCTCGTACCAGTTTGTTGTGTAGCAAGTAATTCTTCTCGTCTTCGCTCAAGTTGTTCCCAGTTCTAGATTCTAGTTTTCGTCCCATTTTACGGCGTTTCTTCTTAACAACAACGTCGGACGAACAAGAACTTCTCTGCTGTCAGCTGTTTTGAACACGTACACACACAGATCTATGTTGTGCGTGTGTGTTTACGTATGAGGAGGTAGATCCAGATCCAGAGCTCTGCCTGCCCGCCACATTTCCACGCTCACGGGCTGCCGACGTCTGTTTTCAATTTCAGAGCAACTTGGACAGTATTATTATTGTTATCATTAGATTATTATTGTGATTACTTAAGACTCGACTCAAGGAAAAGCGGCTGGAAAGAGGAAGTGCAAGCCGCCAGGAACTGTGTCTTTTCCTCAACACACTGCAGCGACACTCTTGGCTACTGAGGAAAGTCTCCGTTTGGAGATAAAACTACTGCGCAAAAGAGAAATCATTTTGTCCTTCAAAGAACTTTTGTATAACTGGTATAAGACATTCGTTATTGGATTTTCAGACCTTGACTACCGACTTATCGTGCACTTCTCTATCGGGAGTTCTTCGAACAGGTGAGTGCTGGAATGTTTGTGTTTATTTACGAAATCAGCCATGCCATAATTATCAGTAGAATAACAGAAGAATATTCTAATAATAGGTCTACTACAATACACAAGATCAGACTGCGTGATGTTTTCATTTTACATAGGGAGCGCTGGAATAGTTACAAAGACATCATTATAATTACATCTAGATCTACATGAATGTTCGGGGTTTTTATCACTAGGCATTTCTCCCTTCTTTTTTTTTTCTTTTTTTTTTGTCAAGAAGGACAAGAAGGACTGTTATACGATAATGACATTATCAACAACAGTTTTGAAACTGAACATAAAACTTGAGAAAAACAAAAACAAAAACGATGGAAATAAATAACGAGAAAAAAACAACAATTAACTGGTTCGTTTGTTAGAGTAAACAGAAGTGCATCAACAAAATAACAGTCATCTAGTGCAGGGGGAAAGAAAGGCAGACATACCTACAGAAACATCAGACAGAAGGAAAGAAAGGCAGACATACATACAGAATCATCAGACAGAGGGAAAGAAAGGCAGACATACATTCAGAAACATCAGACAGAGGGAAAGAAAGGCAGACATACATTCAGAAACATCAGACAGAGGGAAAGAAAGGCAGACATAAATACAGAAACATCAGACAGAGGGAAAGAAAGGCAGACATACATACAGAAACATCAGACAGAGGGAAAGAAAGGCAGACATACATACAGAAACATCAGACAGAGGGAAAGAAAGGCAGACATACATTCAGAAACATCAGACAGAGGGAAAGAAAGGCAGACATAAATACAGAAACATCAGACAGAGGGAAAGAAAGGCAGACATACATACAGAAACATCAGACAGAGGGAAAGAAAGGCAGACATACATACAGAAACATCAGACAGAGGGAAAGAAATGAGGTAGGGCATTCTGTTAGCGCCCCCCAAACACCCGCTTAAATTGAGTTCACAACGGCAGTAACCAGAAGCAAGAACACAAACAGAGGAAGGGACTTTGTGCTGTTGAGGCTAGAAGGTGAGCAGAGTAAGCCTGATTCCCCGTTTGGACTTCTCTGTTGACATCCACCCCTTGCCGCTCATAATGACCTTATGCAGTTGCGAGCGCCGTAAAACCTTACTATAACTAAACTAAACAGAGAAAGAACACACGCGAACCAACAAAACTACAATACCAGTCACGGAAAAAATAACAATTAAGCAGACGTTTCACACACACAGTTATTCCTCTAATGGACACTTACAATCTCCCGTAGCCCAACTGAACTGCCAATTCCAGAGTTCAAATTCGACTTATGTATGGCTTCTATCTATTTCTGCCACTCAGCTGTTGTTCCTGGGGCCAAAGTGTCTCGACATTCGGTGCCAATGTGTTCCTAGTTCTCTCTCTCTATCTCTCTCTCTGTCTCTCTCTCTCTCTCTGTCTCTCTCTCTCTCTCTCTCTCTCTCTCTCT